CTTCGGCATGTACACTTTCCGTGACCTGACCTCCACCCAACCCGGGGCTTGCAGGTGTCGCCAACCTTCCCGCCGACCTCCAGGACACATACCTTGGAGAAGCCCCAACCTCGAAGTTCAGTTTCAGTTGCCTTCAGAGCTGCAACGAAGTACCCAGCTGCCGCCTGGCCTGCGTCACAGGTGCGTGGAGGAGCTATGTGGGCGATGATGCAGTATGATACGATATGTTGGTTTTGTGTGTCTTTTTATACCATATTGGCCATTGTGTGGTCGTAATGGTATGTTGGTTATGATATGAAATGTGGGTTATTACGTGTCTTTCATAGTACGTTATCATTTTTATATTATATATATATATATATATATATATATATATATATATATATATATATATATATATATATATATATATAAAGAAGGCAGCCTGAGTCGGTGCCGGTTCCAATTATGGGCATGTCGAGAGGGCTGGCGTCAGGAAGGGCATCGTGCCATCTGCCCAAACCAGGTTACAGCGACCCCGTATAAGAATAGGACAAAGAAGGGGAGAAGGGGAACAGAAGAAGAAGAAAAAAAGACAATGATATATATACATATTCCTCTAAACGATTAAGAATAGTTATACGGCCGGTTTGTTAGAATTGCGCCAGGCCTGACTAATTGACATTCATTACACGGACATGCACATACACAGAAATAAATGCACATCTATCAGTCTAGACATGCATCTCTACCGTACAGATAGAAAAATAAATGCACATCTATTTGATAGATCGATAGAAATGCATTTATTTCTGTATATATGGATGTCTGTTTATACGAATATTCACTGGCACAATTTTAACAAACCGGACGAATGTCTTGTCCACAAATTCACTTCTAGACTAAAGGAATCGTCATCTCAAAAGGGTTACTTGTCGTGATCGCTGTGTATTTCCACTCTTTTCAGCGCAATATTCCAGGAAAGCAGTAGATCTTCAAAAGTTCGTGTGTGTGTGTGTGTGTGTGTGTGTGTGAGGGGGTGCGTGTTTGTACGTGTGCTTCTTCGTGTGTTTGTGCTTGTGCGTGTGTGCGTGAGTGCGTGTTTTTTTTTGTTTAACGTGTGTTTGAGCTTTATCCTTCACCTAAATGAGTGAAAATGGCATTCCCCAAATAATACTTGAAGTCCATACCAAAAACATCGAAGAAAATGGCTTTCTTGTCAGCTTTCGTGTCTCTGCCAAAAACAGATGAGAGGGCGTGTATCTTAACCTCCTTTAAGCGAACGTTTCACCTTTCACAGTACATGTTGAAGATATTATTACTAAATTTCCACACGGAAGAGTTATTGCTTTTTATGAACTTTGTGACACGCGACTGAAATATACATTTTTAGCGAGAAATAAAAAGCATTATAAACAGGTCCTAAGGCGGACATAACAGGATATGGGAGGAAACATGTCCCATAAAAAAACACACAAAAGCTTTCCTGTTGAGAAAGAAAAAGGTGAAGAAACCGAAGAAGATGAAGAAGAAGAAGAAGAAGAAGAAGAAGAAGAAGAAGAAGAAGAAGAAGAAGAAAGAAGAAGAAGAAGAAGCAAAATAAAATAAAAAAGTAGAAGCAGAAGATAAGAAAAAATATATAATATAGGTCTTATAAAAGATAAATTAAATTAAATTAAAAATTAAAAACAAGATTTGATGTAAATCGAATATGGAATCGTGATTTTCTGTCGAAATAAGTTTATTGCAAGTGGATGAAGAAACCGAAGAAGAAGAAGAAGAAACTGAAACAAGAAGCAGAAGTAGAAGGGGAACAAAAAGGACAATATTTTTTCTTATAAAAATGATATCCCATCAACACAGTTTCGTGTATATCGAATAAAAAAGCAAAACGCGAGGGAGTAGGAAGAAGAGGAAGAGGAGAAGGAAAAGGAAAAGAAGTAAAAAAAAAGAAAAAGAAAAAAAGAAGTAGAAAAAGGAAAAGAAGAAGATGGACAAAAGAACAAGAAAAGGGAAAAGAAGAAGGAAAAGAAACATAAAAAGAAAACGAAGAAGAAACATAAAAAGAAGAGGAGGAGGAAAAGAAGTAGAAACCGAAGAAGAAAAGAAGAAGGAGGAGGAGAGAAAAGATGAAGGAGGTGTAGAAGACAAAGAAGTGGAAACCTGAGAAAAAAATAATAAGAAGAAGGAGCAGAAGTAAAGAAGAAGAGAGAGAGAAGTAAAGAGAAGAAGGAGGAGAAGAAGACAAATAAACCGAAGAAGAAGAAAAAGGAGGAGAAGAAGACAACGAAGTAGAAATCGAAGAAGGAGGAGTAGGAGGAGGAGGAGGTGACAAAGAAATAATCAAAGAAGAATAAGAGGAAGAGAAGAGAGCAACGATGTCAGACATTTCGGCGCGTCTTTTTTCCAAGATAAATCATAATAAATAAATAAATAATAAATAAATCAAAGATATATAAACCATAAAAATAAGAAAATAAATCAAAACCAATCATAAACCAATCATAATAGATAAATAAATAATAGATAGACAAGTCATACATAAACCATAAAAATAAACAAAACAAATCATAAACCAATCATAAATTAATCATAATAGAATAATAAATAAATAATAGACCAATAAATCATACATAAATCATAAAAATAAACAAGATTCACAGAGATAAAACAACTTCACTAAGATATATAACCAGAATTGCAAATGTGATTTTCATTATGATAGATAATCCCTTTTATATATAGAAGATATGTTTTGTTTTATCAGGATACGCTATACTTTAATTTAATCAGCAAAAAATATACGTATTTTTTAAAGTCTTCCTTCAAAAAGTTTATGTAGATAAAGAAAAGAAAAAGAAAAAAATAAGATCAAATACGTAAGTTTTTACATATATTTTTTCCGTCAAGCCTAAAAAAAAAAAAAAAAAAAAAAAAAAAAAAAAAAAAAGACACTACATATACGGTAAATATCCATTTCATAATATACATTGAAACATACAATGTTATACAGACACGATGTCATTAAGGTCCAAATTACTTCGCTCTCTGCCACGTGTGTCGTTTTTATTTACCTTTTTCTTCTAAGCTTTTTTGACAGCTGATCACGTGGTCATTGTTTGCAAGATCGATGTGCAATTTCAGCGTGTGTGTGATGGTGATATTATGATGATTATGATGATGATGATGATAGGGAGGAGGAGAATGATGATGATGATGATGATGATGATGATGATGATGGATGAGGAGGAGAGGTGTGATGATGATGATGATGATGGTGAGGATGATGTGATGATGGTGATAATCATAAAATAATAATAATAATAAATGATTGATAATGATAAAATAATAAATAATAATAATAATAATAATAATAATAATAATAATAATAATAATAATAATAATATAATATAACTAATAATGATAATGACTAATGATAACAACAACAAACAACAATAAATAAAATAATAATAATAATAATAATAATAATAATAATAATAACAACAACAACAAATGAATGACAATAATAATAATGATGATTATGATAATAATAATAACAATAGTAATGACATTGATAAAAATTATATATTTTTCAGTTTGTTGAGAAAGTCAGTCAAACTGGGGCTATTTGTTTATTGTTAATTAATTGAGTGAGTTAGTGCATGTATACTACAATAAATAATGTTATATAAGTTATTCAAGTGTGTATCTTTGGTTTTTACTCCGTGCACAAGTCCTCATTCAAGGCGGCTGTCTGGGTCACGTGTGTGGTTTCTGCGTGTGTATTGTATGGGAATATTATTCAAGTATGTAGATGTTGAATCTACTAACTACTCGCTGAACTTCCAAGTTAATTTACTAAATACTCATTGAACTTTGAATTAGTAACTACTCAATAAACTCTTATCTATTACCTCACTGAACTTTGGCGTGTAGTTGCACCACTCACTTTACCCCCCCCCCCTCCCCCCTCCCTGCAGGCGGCGTGTGCCAGATGTTCAGCATCAAGGTGTCGCGGCACTGGGCCGGCGTCGCCCCCGCTGCCGTGACCTTCGACGCGTGCCACACCTCCTGGGTCACGAACCCCGTGCGCCTGCGGCCCGCGGCGACCTCAGCCTCGAGCGAGGCCGCTGGCTCGGAGGCGCAGAAGGCGGTCAACGGCTTCCTGACCTCGGACCTCTCGCAGTGCTTCTCCAGCGCCGTCGAGTCGGGCCCTTGGTGGCTGGCTGACCTGGGCGCGGCGCGGCGCGTGGCCCGGGTCAGAGTTCACACGCGCCAGGACGGCGTCAGCGGCGACTTCGCGTCCGTGGAGGCTCGCCTGGGGGACTCGCCCGCGCACGCCTCCAACCCGCAGTTCGGCCAGAACGCCGGCTCGCCCCACGTGGGCGCCGTGGCGGACTTCACGCCCTCGACGCCCATGCGCGGCCGCTTCCTCTCGCTGCAGAGCGTGGGCGCCGCCCCGGCCGCGCTCACCCTCTGCGACGTCGAGATCCTGGAGGAGGGCGTCGCGGCCCAGAAGATGAGGGGTCTGGGCGACTCGCAGAGCCTGAGGAGATGGTGTTGTATGGTCTATAAACACACATACACATACACATATATATATATATATATATATATATATAGATATATATATATATATATATATATATATATATATATATATATATATATATATATATATATATATATATATATATATATATATATATGTAAAACATATATATATACAGACATACATATGTAACACTTTCAGCTTTGACATAGATCTTGCTCTTACAATTCTTGCTCTCCGCCCTTTCAGAAACTGCGTGGACGTGCGCCGGAAGGGCAACCAGGTGGACGGCATGTACACCATCTACCCCTTCCACTGCTGCCCCAAGGCCTCCGTCAGCGTCTACTGCGACATGACCATGGAGGGCGGAGGCTGGACGGTCATCCAGCGGCGCCGGGACCTTCAGCCTCGCGTCGACTTCTCCGTTTCGTGGGAAGAATACAGGAGCGGCTTCGGCCACAGGCCCTCCGGAGAGTTCTGGCTCGGGAACGACCTCATCCACGCCCTCACGACCCAGGCTCCCAACGAGCTGCGGATCGACCTCAGCGACTTCACGGGCTTGACCAGGTGGGCCAAGTTCAGCCACTTCTCCATCCGGGGCGTCGAGGATAACTTTCAGCTGAATGTGTCCGGGTATTCTGGCACGGCTGGGGACTCCATGGCCTATCACACTGGGTCCTACTTCTCCACAATCGACAAGGACTTGGATATTGCTTCTTGGAGCTGTGCGGCCGCGTAAGTACAAATTGACGTATAGATTATGTATCTGCAGTTAATTTTCTGCAATAATAGCACTCAGGAAATATCACAAGCTTTTACTTCTAGAAAAAATACTGTTCTTAATCTAATTTTAGTCACCTTCCATTTTTGCACTAGTTTTCTGTTAATAAAGCTCACCCAAACATTGATTATGAATCCTTTGTACAATCAATAATTTGCCATTTAGAAGGCCCATTATGACCAGCCTGTCACCATTTGTAGTTTCATCACAATTTGCACTTCCTTCATTCATCCTTAATCAGTCTCTCTCACAATCATTCAACACTCGATATCCACCATTCATAGCCCTACCTAAACCAGAACCTCCATTTCCACCCACCAGCTTCCCCGGTGGATGGTGGTACGTGGCGTGTCTTTCCATCAACCTCAACGGACCTTACATCGAGGGACCAAACTCCTACGACGGAGAAGGGATTATATACAAGTCTTGGACAGGTCTTGGCTACTCCCTCAACACGACATCCATGATGATCAGGCCTACGAACTGATGTACTTATTTTATTTGTTTTAACTCATAGTACTGTTTATATTCCTTTTGTCATTACCTGTCAAACTTTAACTGGATTTATCAATTAACGTGTCATCTTATCTACCTATCTATTTGTCTGTCTGTCTGTAAGTACACTTGCTTTATTTTCTTCTGCAGGATTTTCCTTCTCATGCTATGTTATGACAATGAAGCAGATATTTGTTGCTGGCCAAGGTGTCCTCTCCAAATAAAACCAGTTTCATCTAGCTATTCATAAAAAAGGAACATGTAGAGAGATGTAGAGAAATGCATGAGTGATATTGAATAATTTTGGGTTTTAATCATTAGGTGTTTTTTGATGAATATATAATAATGAAACATTAATAAAGTATACTGCATTGAGGAACTTTCACTCTTGTTGCATAACAGACTAAAGATTTGTTTCTTTTTGTGTGCTAAACTTGTACCAATACAGTGAAATAACTGATGATCTCTCTAACAGCTAAGAACCACATATTTTTAATGTAATGCTCAACATTCTCTAGTTAGTTTTTTTTTTTTTTTTACAAAATTGTAAAATTCCTTTTCATATATGCCCTCCTGATCAAGAACTAAAAAGTTTACAACTTGGTACATTACTATCTAAGTCATATATAATATAAATAGGATACACTGTGTATATTCTACCAACTTTTTTTTCATCTATTTAATCATGTGAATTACCAAGACATATCAATATTACCAATAAGTATGAAATATTCTTTATAACCTTGGTTGTTTAACACATTCACACTTCTTGTAATCAAGTTTTAGAATCTAAATAGGTAAACAGATTACAGATTTTGAGTAATGTTAAGAATATACGCTGCTCATATCTTTCTTATCAATTCTAGCACAATAATAATATTCACTCAAGAACCAAGCGAGTGCAAGTTTACAATATATCCGTAGTTGTGAACTTTAATTTAAGCTAGCTTTTCTCTACTTTTAAATTTATATCACTGAACTATTACCACATTTTACAGATAATAAATGCTGAATGTGATTTCTTATTTCAACAGTTGCTTGATAGTGTCATAATAGCATTATGTGAGATTCTAGTCACCTTGAGTATTCCTGAACATTTTAAAGAAATTGTCACATCTATTAAGATAACAGTATATATTTCATTATTACACTGCTTCACTGAATAAGAAGTGGCTTGGTAGATGTAGGCAAAACTAATTCAAATCTTATACTTTAGTGTCACTCTCTCTGTACCCTTATTCCAATAAAATTACAATTATGCTTCCTGTATTTCTACTTCGAACACATTGCGTACACTATGTGCCAACTGATACATGGCGTAGTGTTCCCAGTTTTCAGTCGAGTACATTTAAATCTATTCTCTATATGTCAAGGGTTATGCTCCTTACCTCTTACTGCTTCTAAATCAGATGATTATTGTATAACTAAAAGAAGTTACAACCATACCCTTGTTTCATCAATATATACCAGGATAACAAAATTAAAGCATTAATTAAATAATGATAATAATAGAATAAAACATCCCACAAGCCATTGTAGGCAATTTCGGCAAAAACAGTTAATGTCTTCATCTTTCCAGGACACTGAGTAGTATGATATATGCTTAGCTACCTTATAAAGGCAAAGGTGTGAATGAAGGAAGTAATGAATGATGATAAACTAAAAAGACAATGAAACATACGATGTGCCCTACTACTAAATCTAAAGGTAAAAGAAATCTCCCCCAAACATTAATGGAACTATTAAGTACAAACGTATTTCTGCATTGATCGACAACCTCGTGGATCGCTCAAGGAAAAGTGGGTTTTACTGCCTGAATCCCTCACAATACATAGTGGGGCATCCTGATGGCATACATGACAACTTTTCACAAAATATTTCTATGAACAAGTTGATATATCCAGTGAGCTCAAGACATGCAGAACACGATCTTGTACAACATTCACCTCTAGAAGAAGAAGAAGAAGAAGAAGAAGAAGAAGAAGAAGAAGAAGAAGAAGAAGAAGAAGAAGAAGAAGAAGAAGAAGAAACAAACACAAAAACAGAAGAGCTTAGCCATATATTGAATTTTATAAACACAAGCTCTTATGCAGAAACCTCTTATCAGAGACGAGAAACCAGTCAAACCACGATTTCACAAACATTAGCTTTTATTAATCATAGGCACTGGCATTTAATTTCTCTTTCTTTTACAGATAGTTCTAGGTTTAGATAATAATAAGAAAAAAAAAAAAGGTGAAGTTGGGCCATTAAAAAGAATGAAAAGTAGGGTTCCTATAACCCTGACAGAAGATACTGAAATGGAAAATGATAAAGAAAGATAGACAGAGAGATACACAGTGGAAGGGGAAGCTTCTCTCAGCTTAATGGCCCCAAATTTCAATAAAGCAGATTTGAAAAAAAAAAAAAAAAAAAAAAAAAAAAAAAAAAAAAAAATATATAATTATATATATATATAATATATTATATATATATATATATATGTCAAGATCATTATTCATTCAACATTTAAAAAGGTGCACTCTTTCTGATTTCAAAGATGCATATCTGTCACTGAAACATGTGTTTACATATATTCATAAATCTAAAGGCATATCAAAATTTTGTGTTATAACAAATAGAGTAAATTATAATACTCATTTTTAAATCGTTTTTTTGTTTAAATGTTAACAATTCATTTGGGGGAAAGCAATGAATTCGTTACTTTAACGATTTCTCGTCAGACGAGTCCTGGCCTTCCTCCCTTACACAGGTAAGCTGAGTGCTGGTATTTTAAGTCATTTTTTACCCTGCTATTATAGATCACAATGCTTGATAAGTTTATTAATGTAGTTGTTAAATCCCTTTGTATCAATTTGTGATATTTAGACGAGTCCTGGCCTTCCTCCCATACACAGAGAGGAGAAATGTTGGAGAATGCGGCGAGAAGAGCTCGCCATAACGCCTTGTTGCCAGGGGAAAATAATGTTAGTTATTTAGTTATTTTAATAGTCCGTGGATACAGTAACGGATGTAGTCGCAGGTTACAGTTCCGGTGGTATCAGTGAATAGATTGAGAAGGTAATTAGTTATTAAAGTGAAGTGTAAGAGAGGGAAATTGTAAAGGTAAAAGGAAGGTAATGATTGGCTTATGTCCCGGGAAAAATCATGGAAAGAATGGGGATAGATTGGGAATGAGGGTCTTGATTTCGTCTCAGATGTATTTTCAATTTTGTTTATTAATATAATTTTGATTTATAATTAATAGGAAAAGGGAGGGTATAGAATTAACCTTAGATATGAATTGAATTATTTGAGAATATTGCTTACTTTAATTATCATGTGTATTGCTAAGATTTACAGAATGATATGCCATTTGTTCATTGTTTAGTTATTAAATAATATATTAAGGGTTACAAATGTTTCCATGACCATTGAAATTTGCCACACTCAACAGAGGAATGAATTCATTCCCACGAGCCTTAAAGACCATTATGCTACGCTACCCACAAGATTTAACGGTACAGTAAATACAGTAAGAATAGGCCTCCATTTAAATGAAATTGGCATATGAAAAACACACTAATACGACATTGGTACAAAAGTTGAATAGAATAAATATGCTAAAATTTGCACATGATTTTTTTTTATATTACATATATACATATATGATAATAATAGCACCTTGGAAATAATAACAACAATAAGGAGTAAAGATGTTTAATGAAAAAAAATCTGAGGTGAGAAAAACTACAGGCTTATAAAAACAATTCATTTCTTTACCTTTTCATATAAATTTTATGAATTCAAGGACATAATACATAAATATGTTACATTCTCAAACATATTAATTACATAACAACTTACTCGTCTTCATCACTCTCTTGATCCCAACCTTGTAGTGTTGGCTCCTTGTAAAAGTTTTCGGAGAGGACGCTCCACCTTGGCTTCTTACTCGGGACTTCTTCAGGTTCCTTTTTCAATTCCTGATAGAACAAGATACAATTAATCTAAATGCACAAATCACGTAAGGCATTAGGAGATAATGCACACAATATTCATAGATCTCGTTTAAAAGTCTGTGCTACTGAAGTTGATGCCACCATACCAAAAAAATTCTCACGTAGACCTTTGGTATTCAAGTTACTACCCTTTCCATACATTAAATAAAAGTATATCTACGTGTGACTGTGTGGGCAGGTGGGAGGCACCATCATGTTACAGTACCTAAAGCAACACTATGATAATAAAAGAGATTAACAATGTGGTGCCAACACTAAAACATCTATAGTCTCCTTTTGAATAGAAAATTCACCACCATACTCGACCCAAGAGAGAAAATCACAAATGACTCTGACAGACTCCAGACGAATGACTCTCTGTGTGGCTTAGAACTGAGAACTATTTAAAAGCAAGGAATCCCTGACCCGTGCTTACTCGTACATTCAATATGAGGAAACTACTCGCCTTTTTAACCTCGTCTTCAGAGTACACATCTTCCATCTGTTTGCCTTTCCTCTTGAGCACCTTCAGGAAATCCTCCTTGCCAATATTCTCGAGCAATGTTTCTTTTCCAATGACACTCTTGGTCTCTGCCATCTTCTTCGAGATTATGCTCTTGTGCTTCTCAATAGCGCCAAATAACTGTACAACTCCACTGAAAGATGGGAATGTTTACTTTCAAAAACAACATATGTGTATCACAATCTTAGCATGACGTATGATAAATATCTAGTCGTGTCTATACATATCTACCTAAATCTACATCTATCCATCTATGTAAGACTGGGAAAGACACTGTATAATGTCTACATGGAAAAATATCCCAAAATAAGACTGAGAGAAAACAGATAACAGTTATTACATTTTCAAAAGTACTTTTTGCTTTACATCAGCTAAGCTATAATTTCTTTCCTTGTCTCTTATTTTCTTTTTCAACTTACCTTAAAACATGTGCATGCAAAAACAATCACACATTTTAACCATACACATACTTACATCCCCAAAAAAAAAAAAAAAAAAGTAGGTAATAACAAACAAATACACAAAATATAAACAAAATGAATGAATGAATAAATAACAAATATGTGAATATAAAAATCAAATCATATATCAGAACAACACACACAAATGAATGAGAAATACTTTCACTCAACCAAATCCCGTCAAAATATGAAAGCAACCTTTCCTCATACTTACTGGGTGGCTATAACCTTCAGCGCCTTCTCCTTTTCCCGATTGTCTAATATCGTTGGCTTTACGTGAAACTGGTTTATCCATGCTTTTCTCTGAAATACAATTTTGCTTCTGAAAATTTTATTTCATTCCCTTTTTACCTATTTATATGAAGAAAGGAGGGCATTAAATTTTTAAAAAGGAGTCAAGAATTTGCTTTCCACATATCATTACAATAATTCAATCATACAGTATGAAATTCATCATCGAAAATTTATTACGGATACCCAAAACGATTCAATTTATAGAACTTAAGAGGAAGAAAAGAAAAACAATAATAGCATTTGAATCTTTCATATAAATATCAAAATCACACATATATACTTGTCTAGACATTGAAATTAAAGTGGACAGAAAGGAAAAATCAATTTAAAAAAAAAGAAAAGAAATGAACTAACCTGTAGTTGTTTCTGATGCAGTGACATTCTGACTGCATCTTTTACCTCTTCTTCTTTCACTACTTTTCTAACATTTCCTTCTTCATCAACAACCTCAAAGTCTTCATCAAATCTAACTCTCCTATCATCGTCTTTCTTAGCCTTAGTAAGAATTTCTTTGCCCTTTTTCTTTGACTTCAAAATCATGTTTAGAACGTTAGCCAATCCCATGCCAGCTTCTTGTACGCCACCATCATCGTCACTTTCAGAAGCACTGTCACTATCATCTTCATCCTCGTCTGTTTCCTCCTCTTCCTTTTCCTCTTTTAAATCATCTGAGTCAGACAAGTCCTCTCTCTCTATTCTCACTTTCTTTTTTTTAGTCTGACCTTTGCTCTTAATTTTCTTTTTCTTCTTCTTCCTTCCATCAGTCTCTGCTCCAGATTCCTCATCACCGCTGCCAGACTCAACATCGCCGAAGTTGTCATCCCCTTCACCCCATCCTTTTGCCTCATCCACCCATTTACTGCCTTTCTTTGAGCTCTTGTTCTTCCATTCTTCATTGTCACTGTCCTCTTCTTGTTTGATCTCCTCTGTGAAGTCGTCCTGCTCCATTTCCACTTCTTCTAGTGTGTCGTTCCAGTCTTCCACTTCTTGCTTGATGTCCTCCAAGTCGTCCCCCGGTTCAAAGTCATAGTTATCTGAGCCACTGTCGACCTCTTCCAGGTTGACCTCTCCATCATCTGACTCCAGGTGCTCCTCCACCACCCTTGGTTTCTTGACTTGGCGTCCAGTTGAAACAGCCATTTTGTCAGAATCTGGAAATCAGGATTGTTCAAGTTACCATACATGAAGCTTAATCGTTTAATGAAGGGACAGGATTTTGGGCTTATGAAGACAAATGATCCACAGTAAATCACTGAACTTAAATGCAATATGCAATGTAAAATTCAGCAATGTTTGCTGGTTTATGATGACAGATGTATGATTATAACCACAACAGAAGAAAAAGGTCATGTTTTAAACTTGTCACGATTTTGAGCTTTTCAATGTACATTTAAAATTATCTAATGTTAGTTTACATGTCTAATGTAGATCCTCCATTTTAAATTCATTAAAATTGATATGGGTGGATTACTTGTGGTATCCTGTGAAGTGGTTTTAGTTTGTGCCGGCCAAAAATAATGACCGCACTAGAAACCAAAGGGTACGGAGGGTATGAAGTATCCCTTGGTAATTTCTGGGAACATCTGTGAAATACTTGATATGGTTTTCATGTGCTTCTGCTATTGCTAGAAGGCCTTGCCTTCTGAACTCCCTTTATTGCAAGCCGCCACCTCCACAGCCCTCTACCTAAATACAAAATCACATCTGACTAGCAAGATAACACCTGAACAGATGTGTAACTTCACTTAGATATTATTTTTACTCTTTCCCTCAAAATTCTTTACTCAGGAATGCTGTTAATAAAAACTCTTTAGATGTGTAACTTCACTTAGATATTATTTTTACTCTTTCCCTCAAAGTTCCCAAGAATTGTTCTAGGTAATAATAATCTGCTCAAAGAGATGAAGAATTATACACACATAATTTACAATTATCAACCCTATCACGATAGGGCCTGAATTTTTTGGCGCTGTAATATCATGCAACAGTCTGGACTTTGTGCCTAGGCCTAAGCTGCTTACCGTCCTTGTGAGTCATGACACTTATATACATTATAGGCGATTACAACATGATGGATAAAGCTGTACCCATCACTGAAGGGTTAAGATTGCCTTTTTCAAATTTTCACATAAATTTTTCCAGGATATTCATCTCCATTAAAATGTCAATTTATGCATCTCCCATCTTACAGAGCATAAGAAATAGTCATAAACCACATAGGTACAGCTGCAGTGGCCTCAAATTTACAGCTAAATGATGAAAATATCCCCTGCATATCACCGCTCACAGTTACACCTAACGCAAATATTACACGATAGGAATTGAATAGTCAGTAAACATTTACCGAGTTACGAGACGCACTTCTCATCTATCATTTATTTTCATGCAAATTAGTACTTTATTTGGCTGGTTATTTTACCCTTTATGATAATCAGGACTTCCCAGACAATATCTACATCATATTTATTCTCACGTGACAAGAACGAATCTGATGATCATTTCCATAGCAATCATTGCCGACAATCTTGATGTGTTAAGTCCCGATAACGGGGGAAGGCACGAAGTATATCTATGTCATTGTACAACCTACCATAAGATATCAAATTCCAAAATTGTACCAGTCAAAATAATAATCAATATATCAAAACAGCTTAATGTCATCAGCAGCTATTCCCATTACGTCACAAGAGCGGGCAGAGTTTAGCAGCGTGTCTTGCCTCCAATCACAAGACAAGTATTGGGTGTCATGTAACATCACACAACACCGTAACTGACACTAGAAATGATGGCACATATCCACAACACCCTCACACAGACAGAGTTCTTAATGTCGCGTTTTCTATAAGTTGACACGAAGTGTTAACAAAGGAGGGTACAAGGGGCTTACCCATGTCTAGGGTATAAATAAACTAGGAAAGGTCAAGGTTAGATTTCTTATAATCGCACAATACTTTGGTTTCGCGACTTCGTCTCTTGAGGGAAAATCGCATTCAGTAACAAATAGCAGTAAACTGTATTCGTGTTGACAAATATAGAAAAAGTATGAATGAGAATGGATGTCTTCACAATACAAAAGATGCATTTTACCAGTTTCGTTTCACTATTCGTCAGATATACATGCATTTCTGACCAAGATAGAATCAAAACCGGTCAAATGCATCTCTTTTATTGTAAAAATAGCGATAACTAATAAAATAAAAATTAAAAAAAAATACACTTCCCACCTGGCCCTACGAGCCTCCCTCATGCCTGTTCTCCCTCGACATAGCAATAACAATAACCTCAAAGAACTTTTTAAATATGGCAGATCTATGTAATCAATCCAACTCAAATCAACAATCGCTCAAATTACATCAGAAATAAAGAAAATAAACCGAAAACTCCTCGCGCCTCACACCACGTCCACACTCGGTCCTCCGCTCACATGTTCTTTCAAAACAAACCCCAGACTCACAGGTCCCAGACAGATATCAGGAAAAAAACAGTATAATTGTAAATTTACTTTTTAAGAAATTCTATTCATTACCGAACCATATTTGTTGTTCAATTTGATTTTTCTATTGTTTTCTTTTCAATCATTTTCTACAGCAACATATAATAAATCTTAAATGCAAAAATTCCTCAGGATGGTCTGCGACGATATTTCTAATCATAAGTGAAAGTTAGCTAATTGCAAGCTTCTGAGCATGATTTTTATTCTTATATATTTTTGCCCATCTTTGTCCATCGATCCAACATAAGAATGCATTTGATATTCATCTGCGATGTCCCAAACGCAAATCAGTAGTAAATGGTAAGTGTAATTTTGTTAGAATAGGCGGTAGTTATTTTCACATAAAAAGATTTGGGGTTTTCTATCTCTAATTTGTAAATTCGATATTCTTGATATTTTTTTTTCTATAAAAGTTTCTATTGAAAATTTTACTTCAAAATCATTCAATATCGAATGACACTTCCACAGCAAAGATAGGAATGCTACATTCAGTTATAATGTTTTACTTACAATCGGTAGATGGCAGTAAAAAAATCTTCTGTTTTGATTTTTCTGATAATTTAAACATAAGAGAAAAAAAAACATTCAATAAGAAACCAAGCTATAAGTCCAAGACACCTTAAATTATATGTTTGCATGATATAAATCACATGATCGAAGAGTATAATAGTGCGTTTGCTTAATAGAGTCGCTGATAACATACTTCGTAGTATCACAATTTATACGTTCCCAAGCATGGTAAGTATCCTATCCTTAACTTTAATGTTTGCTTCTCTGTTTACAAACATTGCATTAGATTCAAGGGACAAAAAGTGACATATCTTGCCCTTTCATCACATCTTTTTCACTTTCTCGGTATGATATTATATCACATTGATTATTTAACCCATATCAGTCTCATACAATTACTTACAGAGGCTTGTTAAGAAGTAATATCAATGAGAATAGGAGTTAAAAGTGATTTTTTTCAGGGGATCAGCAGGTCGGTCTCGTTGAATCGACCTTTCAAGTATTTTTCTGTTTGTCAATACAGCTACTTTCGGTATAATTAATGTTTAACAGATCCAGAATTTTCTTAGTGTATTAGTGTCGGTATATTCTCTGTCGTTAATTCAGTGGACAAGATGCTAGTCATTGCATATCAAATAGTACCCTCTTTAATATATTAGCAGCCAGATTTTAAAAGTTTTGCGAGGCCAGATGCAATAAATATTCATTATATAGACATGCATATACACCAAAATAAATGCATATCTATATGTAGATACATACATATCATCTGGACAGATAGATAGATGAATGCATATCTGTCATAGATATGTAATTATTTCTGTGGGAATGCATGTCCGTATATGCATATGTTCATTAGTTTGGGCCTCGTACAATTTTAGCAAACTGACCATAATTCATTGCTATATTTCACATACCTAGATAGAGGTAATTCACACAGAAGGGAATTTAAATTAATTTCTTTCATAAAGCAATATTGTTTGTTTTTCTGTATCTTCACACAGTATTGGATTGAATATTTACTTGAGTTTCCAGTTGGCTACCTGTAACCATGTTGATTACACAGATAGCTGCATCATGATACAGTTGGTTTATTGAGAGTTTGTTGTCAATCTTATAACACTCATATGATTTAAGATTTTGTTTTAAGTTTAACATTTTTGATAGCATCTAGGTATCTCTCAGGATACAATTTATTGCCTAGTTTACTGAAGTAATAAATATATATTTTTCATAATGTATTTAGTAGATCATTTTTAATGTGGCATTTTCGTTTTGTTTTATATTTTTTCAATTAATTGTATGTTTTAGAACTGATGGGTAATGGTAGTCTAACTTTTCTGTAATGAAAAAGAATGACTCTTGATAATTAACCCAACTGGATTGCTGGTTTTCTGTGTTTTTTTAATGTTTATGGCAATCACTTAGGAAATGCAGTTAGATTAGTTAAACAAGGAATTATAGGCAAAAAAATCTCTTTTCTCACTTCTGGGGAATGTATATGGTTTTCTTGGATACACACGGTTAAGGATATGAAAGATATGAATGTGTTTAAATCATTCAGATGTTATTTGAGGAGTGAGTGAAAATGATAAAATTCAAGTAATAGAATGAATTTTATTGTCAAAAAATTAACATGAAACTTGCAATCATGTCATCCTTGTCTTTGGTGACTTTAGCCTTAGAGATGAATTCCAGTGCTACATGATGTGCAAAATATATTTTTCACATCATGCTTATTTTGGTATGGAGAAGCTCTTAGTTTCCTCATGTTTTCAGCAGTCTGGAAGGGAATTTTTAAGGTGCAGGATGTGTGATGCTCTTCAATCTAGTCAGCAACGAGTTATGCAAGGATGATGGCTATATATATGAAACCACAGTAAGAAGCAATTTTATGTATGTTTACTAATTGTACTATGATCCTCTGGCAGATCAATGTTTGTCTGTGATTGCTTGCTTCGCATACAACCATCATTGCTTTGGTGTTGCCACATGTTCTACTGAGCTTTTTTATATAATATAGTCTAGAATTTTTTTTCCCAGTGTTCAGCATGGTCCAGAAAAGTCTGTATGAAAAGTCATTCTGGGATATATGTTTTGATAGTGAGGAGTTGCTAGTGATGTTGGAGAGGAAGACAAGGAAATTGTATAGGAAAATATGGGGGTGCTATCAAGGTGGGAGACGGGATGACAGATACACCTTCCCCTATCCCTGCCCCTCATGGCCATCTCTTGTCCCCCTCACCATGTCCAAGCTCAGCTGGACTTTCCACGTCACAGGTAACAACAGCCTCTCTCTGCAGCCAGAATGATGGGACAACATTACTACAACATTACTCAAAGGGATTTGTGTAGCTAGACCACCCATTGAGCATGGATGATCACGCTAATGACTCCTCTCGAACCTCCATACTCTACCACCTCAAAGCGAA